TCCCACTCAATCACATGGCTGGCAAACCACTCCCACTCAATCACATGGCTGGCAAGCCACTCCCACAAGGCAGGCCACACCTACAGAAGAGGTTCTAAAAAAATTTGAAACCCACTATTGGGCTACCCAATTGGAAGGTCAGATCTCCATGGTGTTTCTTTCATGAGCTTCTGTTTCCTGCAAACGATGAAACAGAGGCTCATGAAAGAAAAAGATCTTACCTCGTGCTGCGCTGCCAGTGTTGGGATGCCCCACTGGCCAGCTGGTCTTCGGGTCTCTGCTGTGCATGTATGCATGTCTGTGCACATGTCCGTGCATATGCATGTTCACGCATGTCTGTGCATGCATGCATTCACGTATGTGTGTGCACCTTTCCATTTGGGCATATGCACACACGCACAGTTTGGGCACTCGGTGTCTAAAAGATTCACCATCATATCTTGTGTCTTAAGATCCAGGAGGAAAGGCAGGCTATGATAAAATAAATTACCATAACTGCTTAACTAGTTATTCAGTTTTGCAAAGAAAAAGAGTTGGAACTTGAGGAAGTGGTTAATATTTGACACAATAGTTGTGTGCCAGGGAAGGGGAAATGAGTAAACCTTGCCTGAAGGGAAGATGCCATTTTGATATCTTATCATAAAACCCAAAATAGATTAACTAACCTTGGTTTGGATTATGCATTGCCAGATATATTGTCTAGTGAAAAGCTGCTGGGAAGAAGATCCAGAAAAGAGGCCAGATTTTAAGAAAATTGAAACTACTCTAGGTAGGATATTTAGGTAAGAAACCATTACATTAAAGCAAGGTTTTATATAGTAATATGGCAAAATGTACAGGACATGGGCAAAAGTAAATGATAATGTATTTAAAAAGTGTCCATGTATGAAAAGAAAACATGTAGAAGTGAATAAAGGGAAGAGAAATCAAGTAAAATAACAGATTATTTACTGTAAAGGTTAGTGATACAAAAATGCTGTTGGATCATATACTGTAGGTTGCTCCAGCCAGGTTCTTTTCTTCTCTCTGTCTCTTTTACTCATTCTCTGCAGGTAGCTCACAACCTGCGAACATAATTGGGACTGGAATTTCAGTTGTAAATCATGATGGTCAGAACTCAAGGCACCAATCAGCTTATTGTGATTTCACCCGGTGGCCTCATGTAAATATTAATAGGCAAAAAGAGAGAACACTTAAATCCTGCAGTGTCTCACATAGTAGGCAGGCCCTCTTCTTCCCCAATAATTACTGATTAGAATCAATCCCTCCCTGATTATTCTCTCATTCATATGTTCTCTCTCTCTCTCTCTCTCTCTCTCTCTCTCTCTCTCTCTCTCTCTCTCTCTCTAAGATATCTAGTGTAGCATTTTAAACCCTTAAATACTAATATTCTTACTTCTTTTTCTTTTAAGACTTATCCACAACTTTTAAAACCATTTCTAGCATGTCATTTTATATCTATTTATAACTATTATTCGGAGGGAGACAATTGGTGGATGTTCCTTTTGATTGTTTAACATTTAAAGATTAGATTAATTTCCACAAGTTCTATTTGCTGTTTTTCTTGAAAAATATCATTTTTGTTCTTACAATATTCCTAGCAACTACCACAACCAAAACAATGAGAGCTATATGGACACATTGATCCGACGCCTGCAGTTGTATTCGCGAAACCTGGAGCATTTAGTAGAAGAGAGAACCAAGCTGTACAAAGCAGAACGAGATAGAGCTGACAAACTAAATTTCATGCTTCTCCCACGGTGAGTCTTGTCCACCAGGGAATAGTACCTGCAGTATCAACAGAATTCTGCTGATTGAAGAATTGTACGCAGATTTATATGTTTATTTATTTTATTTATTTATTTAGTTTGTCAAACATGAAAAAGATAACAGGTATAAGTATAAACATAAATATGAACACAGTAAATGGGTATGAATAAATGGAGACAGTAGGACAGGTACAGTAGGCATGCTGGTGCGCTTCTGTACACCCTTTACAGACCTCTTAGGAATGGGGTGAGATCGACAGTAGACAGTCTTAGGTTAAAGTAGTCATTGACAGGTAGGATAGTGTAGCAGATAATTTTGTGTACTACAGTATGTCCAAATACTTAAGGATAAGCTTTAAAATCTATGTTAAATATATTTGTCTTTTCAAAAACTTGTGCAATATTGAACAGCATAAGAGATTTATCTTGTTGTGTCTGGATAGCATGCAAAAATTTCTTCTGCTTCCATGCAAATTCTAGTCCTCTTCAAGAGATATGCAGATACCATTTTCAAAGATCATTCTTCTACAAATAGATACAGTGTTTTCCCCAAAATAAGACAGGGTCTTATTTTCTTTTTACCCACAAAATATGGCTTGGGCCTTATTATGAGGGGAGGGTTTATTGTTTTGGTGTTGCTGGGCAGCTGTTCTCTTCCAAGCGGGCTCCCAAAGAGCCGGGCACAGCCTCATGGGTGAATAGCTGTGTTGCGCTGTCGCAGCAGCGCAACACAAAAGCCATGAAGTGACCACGCTCACAAGCAGCCATCCGGCAACCCCCATTTCCAGCCGTGCAGAGTGCCTTTCACTGGCATTTTGAAGGCGCCAAGCCGTGGGAGCCGGGTAGCGGCGAACAGGCACTCACACGGCTTGGCGATATCCCTAGGTCAGTGAATGGCGCAGTGAAAGCCTCCTACAAGATATGCCCAGCCATTTTGGTGAAGGGGGTGGGGTTTTGGGAGGCTGTATTCATAACAATCTCAAGATGCACCCAAATTTTCAGCCTCTTTTTTGAGGGAAAAAGTGCGTCTTACACTCCGAAAAATACGGTAATCATATCTCAACAAATTATTTATTTTATTTATTAATCACATTTTTATAGCTGCCATCTCTTTCAAGGCGATTCAACAAGAGATAAAAGCTGTGACTATCATGCCAGAATTATGTTTGAAATTAATAAGCCTCGCCCTCTTCTTCCCCCCCCCCATCCCCTCAGGCCTGTGGTAAAATCTTTGAAGGAGACTGGACTTGTGGAGCCAGAATTATTTGAAGAAGTCACCATCTACTTCAGTGACATTGTGGGCTTTACAACCATATGTAAATACAGCACACCTATGGAAGTGGTAGACATGCTGAATGACATCTACAAGAACTTTGACCACATTCTTGATCATCATGATGTTTATAAGGTGATCCAGTTTGAGAACAAAATATAAAATATTATCTTGAGATGAAACAAAAGTAGTGGGGGCAACAGTGCGCTAAAAAAAGGCAAGAATTATTTTTATCTGTGGCCTTCCCAATTAAAAGGTTTTTCCAAAGTAATACAAAGGAGATACTTTTGTTAAAATTTAAAAATCCATACTCTCATGAAGTTTCTCTGTAACAAGTTTCTTCAATCTGGAGTCCTCTAAAAGTGCTCGATTCCCGTGTATGTTTTCCCTAAGCAGATATATCTTGTGATTTTTTTCTCATGTTTCAACAGGTGGAGACTATTGGAGATGCATATATGGTAGTAAGTGGTTTACCAAACAGAAATGGTAACCGTCATGCAGTGGACATTTCCATGATGGCCCTGGATATACTCAGTTTCATGGGGTCATTTGAATTACAACATCTTCCTGGCCTTCCTGTATGGATTCGAATAGGAATTCATTCTGGTATGAGGATTCTATCAAACATTTGATAAAAACAAACAAAGCAAGCAACGATGTTTAATATCATGTTTACGTTTTCCTAAAGTAATAATGGAAATTATTATAATAATTTAGAAATTATTATAAATTATAATGGTATTATATATTTATCAGGATTTAAAATATTACCTTTAAGGAAATTATCAGTGGTGACCAATTATTCAAAAAAGAATATAGTGAATATTATAAAGATAATATCAAGCATAAATAGCTTCCTAATATTATTGATCAATATTTCCTTGTAATTTGTATTTTGTATACACTTGTATACAAAATTCAGAATTTCTGTACTGTTCATGAAAACTGCCCTCAAGAAAGCATTATTAATGAATTATGTTTTAATTAAGCCACCACAGACATTCCGCTCTAAATTCCTCTTCCTCAATATTGTGTAGTTGTTGTTTAGTGCTTTTTATGACATAGATTTGTATTTCTCCCCCTTTAATTTTTTCTAGAAATTCTCTTGTTTTTTGTACCGAATTCAATCTAAACTTCTGTTGTTTAAAAGTAAAGATCCACTTGGTCCTATCAAAATGGTATCTTTTTTCTGTTTAAACTTTTCAGGAAAAAAACTCTTTTATCTTGCTCATTATCTTGATCAAAATTTCTTTAAGTACAATTGCATCTACATTGTTAATCTTCAGTCTGATCTTAGAATGCTGCCTCAAAACATGGTCTTTGGTCTTCTTCCTGAAAAAGTACACAAGAATATCCCTTAATATATTTCTTAATTTTGCAAATGTATTAATCCTATATATTTTGCTCTGCCCATGTACCATTTTCATCTCATTCCAAAAAAATTTATTAAAGATTAAATAATTTTTTCTAGTGTCTTTACCAGGATTTTCTGGAATTCATCTTGAAGGACCCACTTTTATCTTTGGATTACAAATTTTAAAAATGGTTACCACTGCAAATGTAGCAAAGTGTTGTGAGGGAAGAAGATTCTTAAAACAAGCAATAAAACAGTATTATCTTGGGAATATTACAAAAAAAAATTGAAAAGATTGTGGGGGGGAGTATCCAAATCTGTCAAATCTGTTTAAGGTGGCTGCATCTGAAGAGAAAATGGAAGAAAGGTTTGTAAAGATGAAAGAGTAAATGAAAGAAGAAGAAGATGAAAACAAACTGAAGAAATTGAGGAGAATAAAAAAAATACTGATAAAGTAAAATGAAAGAATAGAGAGATGGAAAAGGACTTAGACAATTTGACATAACTGGAATTGAGAGGAAAAGAATTCTGCTTGAGATTCAGAAATAAGAGGATTTTAGATTTGGAAGAGCACTTATTTCCCTCTCATTAATTGAAAATTCCCATCACTCAACTTATTATTAACAAGGTGGATAGTCTTTTGACATGGGACATTCAATTGTAGTTTGTGTAATAAACCTTCCTTCTAGACTGTGTCATATGTTGTTGACTGCAAAGGAGTGCTTAGACTAAGTGCATTAAAGACTGCAAATAAATTACTGAACTGATACTTTTTTACTATTTCAATAGAAAAAAATATTAAAGAAATATTGATATTTATCTCTTATGCTCTTCCCATTTGAGAGAAGCAACTATGCAAAGTCTAGAAGATGAGTAAGAATCAGTAATGGAAAGAAATTAACAGCAGAAAAGGAAACTAAAATATAGTTTATATCATCACTTAGCAGCATTTAATGTATCTTTCCATGTTTTTCAGTATTGCAAACCATCCTTTTTTCACCATGTCCATTCAACAATTCATGTGTGGTCTTTAATTCATGTGCTGTCTTTTGTTCGACATATTCCTTACATTTCTGTTTTTCAGAATTTAATCAGTTGCACCCAACAGTAAAATTTTCTATCTTCTCCTTATTCCCAGCCCATCCACTCTTCCTTCAGATATTTTTTTTTATAGTGTTTGACCAAATATGTCTTGGATTTCAGTGCAATATTTTTCAGACTGATATACCTCATTATATTATATAATCTCTTGCACAGTCACTACAAATCACTCATATTCTCAATTATCAGCATGATATCATCCGTGAACAAAGCCACATCCACATTTGTGTATGCAACACAAATCTAATATCAGTATAAACATTTCTTAATTATTTACCTATACATACAGTATATTAAATAATCAAGTGACATCACATATCTTTGTTTTACATAGAATAACTTTTCACAGTCAAACAATTCCTAATAATCTACTAAAAAAATTAAATAAGCAAGCAAGCAAAGAAACAAACAAACAAATAACGGAATAAGGTGTTTGTTAATTTTTGCTCAATGCCAGGATATTTCAATCAGCATTCTGCTGAGTATCTTCCCAAGCACATTTATCAAACCAGCGCACCTGAGATTTTCATTCACTCTTGTTGCCTTTTCCTTTATATGAGGGAACAGTGACAACATTCTTCCAGTTATCAGGCAGAGATGGAATTTTCACACATCTTAAAAATATTGCATAGTCATTCCATCTTTTAACATTTCTCCAATTGCACCATCTATATATGGAGGGAGAGAAAGTATTCTTTACCAATACTTTTGGTTCATAAAGTGATCAAATCAATCCTGCTACATTCATTCCTTTGTGATATCTTTTCATGAACACACACTAGGAAAAATAAGAAATACTTTATGGTATCTTAATAACTTAATTGTAGCATAATTTTTGGTTGACGATAGTTCATTCTACTCATATGATTGGTAATTGATTTTGGCATTTTTATACTCTTAACTCATGAGAAACAGTATCAATGATGGGTGTAAACATCCATGAATAAGTACACAACTATGAGTTACAAATATTGATACACGATTGAAGGATTGTAAACAGTGAGATTAATTATACAATATGGCGGGAGGGGTCAAACTCTAATTCATTGAGGGCTGCATCAGGGTTGTGTTTGACCTCCGAGGGCCGGGGTGGGCATGGTCAGCATGATGTCATTTGTATTGGGGGCACCTGTGGTGGCCCGAATGCTCTGCCAGAGAAAACGGTCTCCTGCAACCCTCTCCCAGCGAAAATGGAGCTCAGGGGGATGCNCTTGTTAACTCCCATCCAGACCCTGACAGCCTCCAGGCACTGGCACATCATGTCAACCGCCTTGCAATGCCTTGCAATCAAGTCCCCCCCCCCCCCTTTTTTTTTAAAAATTTTTTTTTTCCCCCCCCCCCCATTTTTGAATACAGGTTCTCTTCCTCACCCACGTGACATACACACCTCTTGTTGAGGCAAGATTCAAGAGGTCCATTCATTTATTAGATTCTTGTGAATAGGCATGAGCCATAAATCACCTTAACTCACGGGTGTCAAACTTGTGCTATCGCGTTGCCATCATTTAAAGGCAGAACAACTAGACACAATGACAGTTTTTCACTCTACTAAACAACTAATTCCCACAACACTTTCAAACTACCTAATAAGGCTATATTACTATTATTCTTCTCATCTGTCTTGTTACCTATTTGCTTATCTTCTTATGACCATAACTTTAATGCTTGTATCTTATGATTCATATTAATTGTTTTATTTAATATCCTAGTATGATTTATGTTTTGCTTATATAGCATCCTATGATTATCACTGTTGTACCTTATGATTTGTAATGAATTTATTTTTATGATGATTATGGTTTATCATTTGTTGCTTGTATATACATAATGAATTCTATTCTATTCTATTCTATTCTAGACTGAGAGGCTGAGATTCAGAGAGGGACATCCAAGCTGGATCTCATCAAGAGGTTTGCAAATTGTAGCATTTCTACAGATCGTTATGCATTATTAATCGAATGCATTAAATTATTAATACAAATGGGTTCATTAATTTTGGGAAGTTTGGATGAAGATCTGCATTTTGGAATAGCCCAATGTCTTTTAACAAGATGTTCTTCCTACACACCCACAGACATGGAAAGCCAGCAAAGAAAAACACACAACATTCTCCAACAAGAAAATAATGAGGACGTTGCTTGCTCATCCAGGCAGATCATTTTCAATGCTATAAAGTTTAGCCAAAAGTCAGAATCAGATCAGCGAGCTTAGTTCATACAACCTTTCTGGATGTTATAACAGCTGATCTGGATTTGGATAATGTGCACATTGTCAGTATTATTGCTACCACCTTGTTTGCACATAGGCACAGTAGTGGGATTCAGCCAGTTCGGACTGGTTCAGGTGAAACCATTGATAACTTTCTGGCTGGCCTTGCCCCTTCCTGCCCCACCCCTTCCAGGAATCCCCACGCGCCCTGTTTTGGCTCCCAGGTAAGTGCAGGGAGGCCTACTAGGCTCCAAACAGGGTCACTCCCACCCCACTGACAGTTTTTTGCTCCCAGAGGGGTGCAGGAGGCCGAGTGCTGCCTGTCACACCCTCTGGCCACACCCAACATGGCCACACCCACCATCCAGCTATTAGGGCAGAGAACCGATTGTTAAATTATTTGATCCCCACCACTGCACACTCAGTTACTTGATACCATACCCAAGGCTAGTAAACTTGCCAAGACTTTCAAATCCACAGAAGTAGTCCTTGATTTACAACCATCAGTTTAGCAAATGTTCAAAGTTACAACAACACTAAAAAAAAGTAATTGGTCCTCGCACTTATGATTGCTGCAGCATCCCAATGGTCACAAGGTCAAAAGGAGGCACTTGACCATCAGCCTTGCACTTACAACATTTGTAGCATCCTGGAGTCATGTAATCCTCACCTGCAACCTTCCCAGCCTAGTTTCTGACAAGCAAAATCAATGGAAGAAGCCACTTTCTCTTCATGATTGCATGATTCCCTTGATCATGGCAATGATTTGCTTAAGAACTGTGGCAACAAAAGTCATAAAATCGGGGATGATTCACTTAACAACTGCTTTGCTCAGCAATAGAAATTCTGTTTCCAGTTATGACCGTAAATGCAATACAGAGTTGGAAGGGACCTTGGAGGTCTTCTAGTCCAACCCCCTGCCTAGGCAGGAAACCCTATACCATTTCAGACAAATGGCTATCCAAC